CCCCTGCGCCGCTCCCCGCCTTGGCCAGCAGACGGTTCGGTTCCGCTGCGACAGCTGCTCCGGCGCTAACCTCAAGTCCACGGACGGCGCCTGCACTTGGCTGAGCGACACAACGCGAGCGTGCTTTGCCCAAACCCGCCACCAGGCGCGCGCCGACGGGCTGGGCTGCGCGCGGCTATGCGGCCCCTGCTGGACGGACGAGACGGGGGGGCAAGGCGCCCCTGTCCCCCCCGGGACCCTCCACGACAGGGCACGGGCCCTGCAGCGCGCCAGGGGCCCCGGCAAGGCTCCCCCCCGCCAACAAGCTGCCCTCCCTCGAGCGCATCCCCGGAGGAGTCGCTCGGCCGCCGCCTTCTCAGCTCCGCAACCTCGGGGACTACCTGCTCGGGCCCATCGAGCTTCGCGATCCCATGATCGCCAATATCACCATCCCCCCAGCGCGGCTTGAGGGCGACAGGTTCGGCGCCCACGCCAAGGACACGGGGCGCTATGCAGCGAAGTGCGACGGCTGCCCCTCCGAGACCCCGCCCCTCATCTGGGGCGCAGGCACCCCTGCCCCGTGCTGCGCCATCTGGGAAGCCGCCCCGGGGGCCCGGCACGTCGACTGAGGAGGCCTTCCCCGCTGGGAGGAGCGAGCGGTGGCCTGGATATTCCGCCGCTGGAATGCCACCTGGCTCTGCCACCGTTGTCTCGCGCACGCCCGGGGCGAGCGCCCGCGCGCGGTCGGCGCGCCCCTCGACCGCGACGCCAACCTCATCTACCCCACCCTCCCCACCACCAAACCCGAGCCCGCCCCCGCTGTGCTGCCGGGGCCCTCCCTGGCCAGCGACCTGGAGCCCCACCGCGCCCTCGCCTCCTCCCTGGGCGCCAACAGCAGGGCTTCCAGCTCGACCAGCACGGGCGGCCCCCCCTTCCCGACGCCACCCCGCCGGCCGGCCCAAAGCTGGCGCGCCGGGCCCTGCGTGCAGGCATGCCCCAGGTCCGAAGCAGAAGTGCAAGAAGTCCAGGCCCATCGAGGCGGCGCTAGTCGAGCGCTTTCGGTACCTCGACCCGGCCTGCGACGACCGATCGAGAGACTTCGCGGAGGAGCTCGGCAGAGAAGTCCGCGGCGCCAGTTCCAACGACAACTTGGAAGCAAGGCAGCCCGCCCCCTTCCTGAGACAGGTCTAATGCGATGAAGTCCCCAAGGACTACTGCCCTGTCGTGTATACTTGGGACGGCAGGAGGCTAGCCGCTGCGCGCATCGCAGCCCACCTCTGCGTCAACTCTCCGGACAGGCAGATGCGCCGCCCTGTGTCGACCGCGTCAGAGCTACGGATCCAGCTCGCGGGACCCCCCCGCTCCGCCACCCGCTGGAGACGCTCCTCGCTTTTTTCAGCCATGGCGAATCCCGACTTGCTGTCCGAAGGGCCCCTCCGCGAAGGGATACGTATGCGACAAGCTGGGTGCCGCCCCAGCCAGTGACTCCAGCGCCGCGGAGAATTGGCTTCGTTCCGCGCCCCCCCCCCCCCCCCCTGCCGCCAAAGCGCGCCCGGGCGGGGCAGACTCGGGCCCCCCTGCGAACCCTGCCGGCGGAGCGCAGCCGCGGGCCCCAGTGGCACCCGAGCGCAGGGCCTGCGCATGCTCGAGCGCCCCCGCAGGTGTTAGCGCCGCCCTGGAGGGCCCCCCGAGTCCGTCACCGACACCTCCCCCGCCGAGGCGCCCGAAGACACACCCGCCCCCGCCGGCGCTGCGCCGCGGGTCAGACCATCGGCGGTCGCCGAGCTCAGCCCGACCCCCATCTCCGCCCCAGCGCGAGCGGGAGACGACGCCGCTCCAAGCCCCCCAGCAGACGCTCAGGCCGGCAGCCCAGCTTCGCCCGCCGCCGCGCCCAGCGCGGCCGACCCCCTCAATGTCGGAGGCGATGGGGCTGCCGACGCCCCATCAAGCAGCAGGGCCCCCTCTCCCGCGCCCGGCGCTCCCCCCCGACGAGGGCGCCGCCGCCGGGGCGAGGTCGCCGCGCGCGACGCGGACAACCGCGGAGGCCCATGGGGACAGTTACCGCTCTGGGAGAGCCTACAGGCACAGCGGCACCGACCGCAAGGTCAACGGCCGCGAGAGGAGGGGCTGGACCGACTGGAGAGACGGGGGCGACTCCGCCCACCGCGGGCCGCCCCGGGGCCCCGCGCGGACCAGACGAGCACGCTGGAGGCTGGACCGCTTCAGGACCCGGCACTGCCCCCCCGTGCTACCCGGCCGACCCGGGCACGGGCTGGTGCATGCGCAAGGCCCCCGCTGGACGAGGTCGACCTCTACCCCTCCGGCAGCGAGAGCAACGCCGCCTTGGTGAACCGCCTCCAGAGAGAGAGCTCGGGGAGTACTTCAGCGAAATCTGGCGCCAGTGGCGCAACAGGCACCCCTCCAGGAACAGCCCCCGCCTGCGCAGATCCCTTCAGGCAGGACCCCAAGTCCTGCAAGGCCTGGGAAAGGCGCCGTCACGACCGCAATCCGCTGGCCATGGACAGGGCCGACCGCCCCGGAGTCAATTGCACGGTCATCCGCGAGAAATTTGCCACCCGGGGGACGGGAAAGGGCGGCCCGCGCAAGGGCATGGGGAAGGGCAACCGCGCAGCTAGTGCGACCTGTCACCGAGACCAGGGCACCTCCAGCCGCGCTTTGAGCAGCCGCCGACCCTGGGAGCAGCTGCATGCGCTCCCCCCGACGGGGCCGGGGCCCCCGCCGCCGCGCGCCCATGGGCGTTGCAGCCGACCCCTCTGTCCGGGGCCCACGCGCCAGACCTGTTGGCAGCCGACGCCGCGGCTCGCCCACCCCGGGACGTGCGCCCCTGCTGCCATGTCCCCTAGACACCCTAGGGGCTTGGCTGCCACCGCTGCAGACCCCGCTTCCGCTCTCAGGTCCTGTGCTGCGGGGCTACGGTTGGCCGCTGCCTTTGCTCCGCTCGTAGCTCGCGACTAGGGGCAGCGGCGCAGCGGTTCTGGCACGCACCACCGCGGGGTGCGCGCCCCCCCCCCAGCAACCCCCTCCGGACCCCCGTGGGCGCTCCCCCCGTGGGCCACTTGCCCTTCGCGCGCCGCTGACACCAGTTCATGCGACCATTAGTCACTAGTCGCTTCTGCGCCTCACCTGCGCCTTCGCAGCCTTTGCTATTCTACGCGAGTGCATGCGACCGTTAGTCGCCTCTGCGCCCCCCTATGCTCGCGACCTTGTCGCCCCCCGCATTTGGCGCCGGCTCTCCTGCCGGCCCCCCGCGCTCTGCGCGGTTAATTCCCACCCCGCCTCGCGCGCCCCCGCGAGCGCGGGTCGCGTCCGTGCTCTGCGCCGCGCGGTTTGGGGCGTCGCCCTCGCCCTCGCCCCGCCCCGCCGCAGTCCGCCGGCACCCTGCGCCCGGCCCTCCCCGCGGCCCCCGCGGGGGCCGCCCTGGCCGCGCGCCCAAGACTGCCAGGCGCGCGCCCTGGCTGGGGCTGTCGGCTCGCGCCTGGCCCCGCTGGTTCCTTGCCCGCCGGCGCGGTCTTCGCCGCCGGTCTAGCTTGTGGCGCACCCCCCCCCCTGCCCCGCGCCCCGCGCGGCCCGCGTGGGGCCCCTTCGACGCCTCTGCCCTCGCCTCTGGCTCTGGTCACAAAGGCGCGACGGTGCCGTTTCGCTGCCGTGGCCCGCTTCGCCGCGGCGCCCCCGCCCAGCGGCCTTTGCTCCACGCAAAGGCGCCGATTGGGCCCCTCTCTCTCCCTCTCGCCACCGCTGGACGCCTGCCCGCTCTCTGCGGCCCTCTCGCCGCCACGGCCCCGCCGTCCGCCGCGGCTCTCGACGCGCGGCGGCCCTTCGACGCTTGCTTGGGGCCCGCCGCCCACTCGGCCCGACCCGCTGCGTGGGTAGCGTTCCCGTCTGCTCCCCGGGCGGGTTCCGACAGCTCGGTCGCCCTGCCGGCCTTGGCGACCCAGACTCCCGTCCGTCGAGCGCCTGCATGCCTGCTGGCCTTCTCATTGGTGTCGACGCGCGGCTGACTGCCTTCAGTCTGCTTAAGACGTGCCTATCCCACGGCGCGAAGTGCTGTTCGGTCGTCGCTGCCCACTCGTTCCGCCGCCGCCCACATTGGGCTTCGACGCACCTGAAGGCTTGCTCGCCTTGCTGGGATGCATTGCCCTTGCCGCGCTCAGCCGCAGGCGCTTGCGGCTTCCGCTATCCCCCGCAGGGTTGCCCCACGCCGCAGTCACAGGACACCGCATTGCCAGCGAATTACCGTCGACTTTGGCGTGCACCTCCGGCGGTTACTGGCTGCCGATGGCACCACTCCGTGAGCGCCGCGCGGCCCGCCCCGGCTTGTCTCACCTCCCGCTGTTCTTTTGTCGTTGTCTCTCTTCTCCTCTCGCTCGTGTGCGATCGGCTGCTGCTAGTCAGCTGTAGTTTTGGACGGCGCGCGGCGCTTCCGTTTGCGCTCGCGAACAAATAAGTAACCCCGCCAGCCCATCCAGGAACGGTGCCCAGACGAGTGGCCCTCATCAGGGAGGTGGGGTGGAGGAGCACGCAGTGGAACAGAGGGCCCGGTATGATGTCATACCTCAATCCGAAAGGAAGAGGATGGAGGAGGAATCGGAGGAGCAGGAACAAGCGGAGGAGGGAAGAGGAGGAGCAACAATAATATCATCAGGAGGAGGAGGACGAGGCGGAGGAGGAGGAGGAGGAGGAGGAAAAGGAGGAAGAGGATCAGGAGAAGGAGGAGGAGGCGGGGGAGGAGGAGCAGGAGGAGGAGGAGAGGAGAAGGAGGAAGAGGAGGACCAGGAGGACCAGGAGGAGGACCAGGAGGGACCAGGTGGAGGATGGACCCGGAGGAGGAGGAGGGGAGGAAGGAGGAAGAGGACCAGGAGGAGGAGGAGAGTGGAGGAGGAGGAGGAGGAGGAGGAGGAGGAGGAGGAGGAGGAGGAGGGCCATTCGCAGGAACAGGAACAGCGTTCCCCCGCGGCGCCGGCAGAGGCGCCCCGGCCTCGCTCCGGGGCTCCCGGCGCCAGGAATTGCACACGTGCGCCGCCACCTTCCCGGTGTGGTCAGGCGCCCGCCGGCCCGGGGCCTGGCCGCTGCACTTCGGCGGAGGATAACGGAGACGAGGTGCCCGGTGGGGAGGAGGAGGAGGAGGAGGAGGAAAAGGAAAAGGAGGAGGAAAAGGAGGAGGAACAAGAGGAGAAGGAGGAGGACCCTTCGTCCTTCCTCGTCCTCCTTCGTCCTCCTCCTTTTCCTTCTCCTCCTCCTCCTCCTCCTCCTCCTCCTCCTCCTCCTCCTCCTCCAAATATTGGGGGGAGGGGTATAATTTGGCACAGGGGGGGACGCATCGACCCCCGATCGCCCACTGGGGTGCCAGTGGGGAGGGGGAGGAGGCGACATGCGAAGATCAACACATGGCATGAACATGCACTCTCGACGCTCCGCGCGGATTTCTCGGATCGGCGCTGGGTCCCCCCTGGCGGCGCCTCTGGCGCCGCCCCTGGGGGAGGGGGGTCCAGCTCAGATCCAGCAAATCGGCGCGGACCGCCAACAAGTTTATGTTTATTTCGTTTTGGTGAGCTTTCAGAGCGCCGGAGCGCTTTCAGAGCGTTCCGGGACGCTCTGAGGCCGCGGCGTCCGAGACATCCTCCACAGCGGGTGGATTTCAGAGATTCGATACTTGATACTTATCCTCACCCGATGTTATCCTCGCCCTGGTTTCGTCTTAGGAGGAGGCAACAGGAGGAAGCGGAGGAGGAAGAGGAGGAGGAGGAGGAGGAGGAGGAGGCACGGCACGGCAGCATGGGGTCCGCAAGTCGACCCCGCCGAGCTCATGGCGAGCCCGCGGCGCTGGGGCGGCGGCTGAGCGCGCCGCTCGTCGGGGCCCGAGGCGCACTGAGGCAACGAACGCCCGCTGCCCTACCGGCGACAGTCGGGCAGGCGCCGTAAGCAGAGCGGAAGAACGAGGCGTCCCCGCCTTCGGCAGAGGGGCTGGCCGCAACCGCCCGCCCGAGAGGGAAAGCAGCTGGCAGCGGCCTGCTTAGAGTTCGAACACGGTCAGGGAGAAGACAGCGGCGTGACTGATGCGAAGCGCGCAGGCCGCATCTGCGTGCGCGGGGGCAGAATTCGGAGGCGGCCTCAGATCTGGCCGATCACCATGCATACGTACGTGAGATGACGGCTCACCCTGGATTTATGATGTTCTAACTTGCTGTAGCCTTGATCACCAGAAAGAATTTGAAGCACCAGGAAACTACCGAAACTGCAGGGTTTGCGCGCGTCGGGCCCTGGGAAACGATACTCGTTCGATGCTGTTTCGATACTTTTCGAGGCGCTCGAAATCATTGGGATGTGGTCCTTGAGTACGATGGGGGCAACATAACCCTGGATATGTGGTCGGAGTTCCGTCGACAGCGCGTCGAGCAGCCCATCTGGAACATGCCGCCGCTGGCCGCCTCAGTGCTGTTGCGAGCCTTGGTGGTTCACCGCTGTTTGTGAGCTCCTGTCGGGGCATTTTTTCTTGCTCTACCTGGAGCACCAGACGTGTCGGTGCGAGGTGGAGCTGTCAATGGGTGAAGATGTGGCCAAAGGACCCAAAACGCCTTTCTGGGACTTACAGCAATGCGGGCGTACATCGAACTGGGCGTGCAGGCTGCGGTGCCGCTGTGGTGTTTCCGCGCCGCAGTATGTGCTCGCCCGTGCCAACAGCTTCAGCGCTGATGAGCATGGTCCTCCTGCTGGTGGCCGTGGGCAGCCGCGTCATCCTGGAACTGGCACGCGCAAGGAAGCCAAGCTCGAGCAGCAGTTGGCGACCTTGCAGAGGCAGATGGATAAGTTGCTCAAGTCTGGAGGCCAGCCCCCTGCAGGGCCCAAGCCTACGGGACAGCCAGTTGCTGGTGGCAACCAGGCGGGCCAGGGCGGCGGCGGGGCGTCAGGTGACGAGGCCGGCGCTGGCCAGCAGCAGGCTAAGGAGCTGGAGGACGCGATCCGCTCGTGCAAGGGCGACCTCATGGCTGAAGCACGGGAATCTTTGGATAACAGGCTCAAGGAGCTGCGCGCCAAGATGGACGGCCGCAAGTCGTCGCTCACGCAGCACGCCAATGTCGGGCACAAGCTGGCGAGAGCGACGAGCAAGCTGGGCAGACTCGTTGAGGATATTGAGGAACAGGACAAGCTTTCGGCCGAGATCCAGCAGCGCAAGCAGGAGTTGGTGGCCAAGAAGACGGCGACCGAGGCTGAGTTGGCGGCTCTTCAGAAGCAGCTGTAAACGTCATTGCCCAAGGATGCCGCCAGCCCTCCCCTCGATCTACCACCTGGCGCGCTCGAAGGAAAGGAGGCGCTCAGGAAGATGCTGGCGTCTGACACTTTCAAGGAGTTCAAGCAGCTGCGTCTGGAGAAGCGTGGCGTTGAGTCGGCACCTTCCCCAGCGCAAGTGCCCGCGCCTGAAGACATGGACCTGGACGACGCCTTCGCAGACGCGAAGGCAGCCGAAACTTCCTGGGATAAGCACAAGGGTGACAAGCGTGCGATCCTGGAGGCGCTCAGCCAAGTACCCCTCGAAAAGGCCAAAAGGCAACTCGTTAGCAATCGGAGTCGACCACTGGGCACCGCGGATGCCGATGACCATCGTGGGCTTCAAGACGCGGGTCTTGATCCAGTGCCATGCCGGGCTGCGGGAGAGCTACCATATGGAGCGATCTAGTTCTATGGCCAGCTTTGCGGGTCCGAGTGGATGGTGCAGCACTGCGTGGACGCGCGCATCCAATGGTGCCTGCTCGACATGCTGCAGCGCGGTGGTTCGAGTTTCGTTGCCGAAGTTCGAGGCGACGGAGCAAGCTCGTCGAGCTTGTTTTTTTTCGAATCTTTTGCTGCATGCAGGGGGGAAAAAGATGCCTCGGGCTCGTCGGGCCCTGAGGCCGTCAGGACGCGCCCAGATGATGCTGGGTCACATCGCGCGTCTGCGCTGAGTTCAGCGAGGCCAGTAACTTGTCAGGTCTCCAGCCTGGGCGAGAAGGTTGGGCCCCCAGCGGGGTCTTTTTGCTCAGGCACGCGCATTTCTGCTCATGGGGCAGGCTGTCCGCCCTAACCCGATCCCTCGCGCAGTGATAGTGAAAGCGTTTCTCACCTGTTTGAAAGTTACAGCGGCAACAGCCGGGGCACTCCCAGGGATCGCCCCGGCAAAAGCACAGCCTTAGTCACCTTCGCTCGTGGAATCGGTCTCGCGGACGAGGATGTCGGAGCCAGAGCCATCTCAGCGCGTTCACTTGGGTGGGACATGTTGCGCGCGCCTTCGAAGCCCTGTGAAAGAAGTCAGTTCTCCGTTGGGGTTGCTATCTTCGCACGTATAACAGTCGGACTTCGTTGGCCAGGTTCGCTGCCGAGAGGCGTCGCGTTGCCGCGGCGGTCGATGTTCGCGATGATTGAGATCCCAGGCTGTCCGCCGATTTTGGCGGGCTGCGCTTATCTCCACACCAGTGAAGGACTACCGCAGCGCAACCTACACAGCCTCAAATGATGGGGGGTAGTCTTGGAAGGTGCTCACTTGGCCCTCATCGGGGCCGACTGGGATACACCGTCATTTCCGTTGGATACCTCAGGGATGCCGCGAGGGGTGGGCGCGCTTATCTTACAGCCTGCTGTGGGGACTTGCGCGACGGCCCAGTCCAATAGCACTGCCGATTACTTTTTGACATCGCCGGCATTCGGCAAGCTCGTCGAGAGCACGATGGTCGACAACAAGTGGCCGAAGAGGCCCCGCCGTCCAGTTCAGCTGCGCCTCAGGCCCAGGGCTGCGAATTTGCGGCAGCATGTTTTGATCTCACACCTGGGGCTTCCCGCGTGTCTTCCTTTCGGGCCCACCCCTGCCCCCGCCGATTGGCCCGTAGCCCGAGCTGTGGCTGAGGGGGCCAACAGGATGGCCGATACTGATGATGTTGCCGTTTGGGAAGCGATGGGGGAAGCCGGGCATATTCTCTCGGATGCGTTGGGACTCGGGGCGCCAGCTGTCTCCCAAATGGGTTTCGGTTGTGGCCCCTCTCCGCAACAAGAGAGAACATGATGTTTGGGTGGTGGAGGGGTGGGTATGGCTTAGGCATGGGTTACGGGACCTCTGTAAGACCTGGGAACGCGTTTTGACCATGGCCGATAGTTTGATAGACAATGTGGAGGTCGGTGCTGCGAACAATTTGGCAGCCATCCTCTGTCAACCTTGCGACGCAGAGGGGCACTCCACTCGCTTTGACGTCGCGGCGCAGGCTGCGCGGCGGCTTGCTGGCGAGAGGCCCCGACGCCCAGAGGGCCTCGCGAGTTGGATAAATCGACGCTCCCAGGCCCTGGAGGAGCGGGGCGGCGATTTGGGCGACGCTAGGAAGGAGCTCGACCAGAAGGCCAGGCGCAGTTGGGGCCGGTAGCAGCAGGAAGCCCTTTCGGGCTCGGCCCACAAGATGCACCGACTGACGAGATGGAAGGCCGAGTGGCAACCGACGGTGACTGAAATCGCTCCTGGCATTTTCTCGGCGGACCCCAGAATGCTCTTGGCGAGGAAAGCTGATGTCCATGGGGGTTTCCTAGAACGCTCGCACCACTCCTGCCCTTTTGGAGGGCCCTGATCGCTCCTGTCTGGACAGGCTCACTGCTGAGGCCATCAGAGCGGCGTTTCAGAGTTTCTCTCCGCGCACGGCGCAGTCGTTTGGCGGAGTGCATGTCAGGCATTCGGGTGTATGTCTGATGACGGGCGTAGTACTTTGGCTTGCATGTTTCAAACGGTTGAAAAGATCGGGGCGTTTCCCACGGCTGTGTATTTGATGCTCTCCCCCTCCACGAGAAGCCCGAGGGCGGGCTGAGGCCGGTGCTGCTGCGCGCCGCCCCCGCGCGCCGATGGGAGAAGCCTCGTCGGTCCGTCGTCAATGCCCGTAACATGGATCACCCCCGCAAGTGCTGGGCCTGCGGGGCGGGGAAGCCGGCGGAAAGAAGCATTTGGAACCAGGCGGTGAAAGCGGAAGGCAATGGCGCCGAAGGGGGCGTCACGGCGGGGTTCTCTTGGGACGGGTCCAGGTACTATGAAAGCTTTGACCTGGCGGTCTTAAAAGAGCGGGGCCTCCGGGCAGGCATTGGCGCGATCGCGATCAAAGTTGCGTTCAATTTTTGGCGAGGCCCACGCGCCCTTAGGCTTGGAGCGGACCGCAGCCTGGTGCCGCTGCGTGCGAACAGTGGGTTGCCAGCAGGTTCTTGTTTTAATGATTTGTTTGCGTGCGTGTGCGCGCTGGAGCCCTTCGACGGCTTCGTGCGTCGCCACCTAGCGTGGATCTGGCGTCGCACATTGACGACGACGCGGTCAGTTGCCACGGCGAGCCAGATGCAGTGCTTGATGCCCTTGAGGGCGCTGCGCAGGACTTGCGCGCTGTCTTCGCCAAGGAGCTCGGGGTCAACCTAGCTCCAGATAGGTCGATGACTGTCGGTTCCAGTGGGGGCGCCGCTCGTCGCCTTGGGGGGCGGCTTGGAATTCTGGCGGGCAAAGTCCGCACCCGCATGGCGTCTTTGGGGTGCGACTTGTCCCCAGGGGGCCGTAGAGGGACTAAGGGCCATTTCAAAAAGCGCAGAAAGCGGCTTGCGGACATGGTCAGGCGGCATGGGGCCCTCCAGCGGTACCGAAGGGCCCTCCCCAGGGAGAAACTCAGGATTGGTAAGATCTACACGTCTGGGGTCAAACTGGCTGTCTGTTTCGGGGACACCGTCGTCGGCATGACGGATGCTGAATTTAAGCGTTGGCGAAGTGTGCTTGTGTCTCTCCAGGCGCCGCACCGCGCGGGCGTTTCGACTTGGGCCACAATTGCGATCAATGGTGACCCCCTATTGGCGCAGCATGGCGGCGCCAGCGGTTACCTGGTCCCACGCAGTGTGGAGCGCCACCACGGCGTCGCAGTGTGCCTTCTTCAGCCTGTCCCAGCTGTGCGCCATGTGTCGCGCCGTCGACCAGGCAGGACTTACGCGGGGTCAAAGCAAGGGCCCCATCAGCAGGATGTTCCTCTCCCTGACTCGGATTGGGCGGTCGGCACCCTCGCCTTTGGACTCGGGGGATGACAGGGGTAACCAGCTTTCTCTGTTATATAACACCCCATCGCTGATAGGGCACCTCCTCCAGGCGGGGGTTCAGCGTTACCACGGAAGACAACTTGCGGTGAAGCTGGGTTGGAGCTCTGATGCGAGGGCGCGCGCGGATCCGATCCGCCGGATAACCGAGCCTAACGCGAAGGGTAGTGGCCTCGATGCGCAGGGTAAGTACAAGGTTATGACGCGTTTTCGTGGCGGGCTCTGGACCGAGGACAGAGCTAGAGCTTCGGGGTGCACGTCTGATGGTAAGTGCCCCCTTGGCCAGTGGCCAGATGCAGTTGCCGACCGGATTTTCAAGCGCGCTTGCCCTCAGGTCCAGGCTGCCAGGGAGACCGCTCGGGCCACTGACGATTTCCTCCAGGCCGCGGTCGACGGTGAGGCTAGCTCTACGCGGCGCTCAAATTGCCCCACCCCGTCGGGAAGTGGCCTGGACTCTCGGGCAATCACGAGCCCGCGCTGCATGACGAGCATGGCGTGGAGGTCCCCTGGCAAGATTTTGATCCGAGCGGGCTTGCTGTGGCAGGGGGTGGGTCATGCTACCCGCGCGCGATGCCTGAGCTGTCGCGGGCGGGGTGCTCTTGGGCTATCTTCAATGACCAGGGGGCCATCGCGCACGTTGCACGCGGCACTGCGCGGCCCAGTCCCCCGCATACCACTCAAGCAGCAGAGCATGTAGATCGCTTTGAAGCCGACTTTTGTTATTGAGTTTCGCGGGCGCGCCTGTTACAGTGATTGTATGAACGCGGTCAATATGCAGAACAAGCGTGCACGCGAGCAGATTTGCAGCAAGCAGGGATCTGGTGGTCTAAGGCGCGGTGCGTTACTGCATATGCACAATAGTGAGTATTCCCCAGCTGTTCACACGCCTGCACATCGTAAGTTGGAAGACTTCAAAGTTGCCCCTGCCCCCGGTCGATGGGTCGGTCTGGCGAATTGGAGGGCCGATCGGGAGGCCAAGAGAGCTCTCGATCTCCACCCCGGGCCTCCGCAGGCCGAGGAGGGCGATCTCAAGAGATCTATCCGGGGTCTTGAAATGGTGGCGCGTCTCGCGGCGGCTGTTTTGCCGATCTCCCCTCGGGTGGTTCACCGGAGGCCGCCTCAGCGCGAGCGCGTGCGCGGGGTCTTTCAGCAGGCCGCAGGCTGGCACGCGTGGGGGCCCTGGATGTGGGGCCACAGGTGTTCCAGCTGCCCTACTTTATTCGGGGGGTCCTGGTCAGCGGCCCGAAGTTGGCCGCGGGGGGCCCGCCCTGGCCCGTGAACTCCTGGTTCAGGCCCCGCTGCGCGGCCCAGTTTTGGCCAGCACTCAGGTCGAACATCAGGCTCGACCATTAATTGTTGGTATGAGTTGCGGTTACTTTCCCCAGCGCAGGGTGCGCAAACTTGCGCAAGCGCGTGCACGACAGCTTTGCGCAGACTTCGTCGGGGCCTTCAACCGAAGCACGATTGGATCGTCAGCTGCGCCGCGAAGGAGGGCCCACTTGACCGACAGGAGGCCCAGGCGTATGATATAGCCGCCAGGCCACTGCACGTCGCCGCCTCTGCCACGCCGCTGGATTGTTCGGCGGCCGCCCGTGCCAGGATTGCAACTCGTGAAGCTGCTAATGGGGGGGCGGGGGTGGAGGCGGTTGGGTCGGGAAAGGATAGTGTCGGTAAGTCCCCAGAGGTGCTGGGCACGCCAGCCTTTTGAGCTGACATCTTTGATGATGAAATCGAGGCGGAGGCTGCTGCCGCCATATCTTTGTTTTCGAGGTTCGAAGCCGAAGAGGCTTCCCGTTTTGTTGTTGAGGGAGATGATGGTTCCAAGCAAGCTGCCAGGTCCTCCCCTCACGATCCCAGGTCCGCACTCCGAAATGCGGTGGCCAACTTCAGAGAGGAGGAGGAGGAGGAGGACAACGCTCCTCTGGTCTCGGGCAGGCCTTGTGCGGGCCATGAGTCGGGATCAGATTGAAGAGCACCGGGCGTTGGCGGACCAAGGGGGATCCTCTCGCCAGCAGGTGATGTCTCCGTGGCTTGCTGCCTCTCGGTGTGCTCAGTCTGTTGTTGGCCGCCTTGCGGCCTACTTGAAACTGGTTCGGTCAAAAGTGACCAAAAAATCCTCCTTCTCCTCCTCCTCCTCCTCCTTTTTCGCCTCGTCAAGGTCCGCCCGCGTTTTCTGTTTGTGCCACCACTCCCGCTGGCGGAAGTGCCGCACTGCCGCCGACGACGACACCGGGTCCGCAAGGCGGCCGTGCAACGCCACCAGCACGTCCTTCGTGTCCTGCAGGCTCAGCGGCGTCGCGATCACGGTGCGCAGCACGGCGTCGGGGACGCGGGGAAAAGGACCGTGCGACGCAGCAGCGAGAGACGAAGACTGCGGAAATCCACCGCCATCGGCGCGATTTGCAGGTCTCGCTGCACGACTTCACTCGGCAGAGACCGGTACTGCGTACTGCGTATCCCCCCCGCCAGCGTCACACGCACGACGTGCGAGCCCAAGGCGAAGCGTCCTAGTCGCGTCGCCACGGCCGACAGGCGCGAGAGGACCGCCGCAGATGGCACGCAAGTCCTACCAGGAGGAGGAGGAGGAGAAGGCAAGAGGAGGAGGAGGAGGCCCTTGCTGCTGCTGCCGTTGGCGCTGCCGCTCGGGCTGGAAGCCTTCAGTTGGACTGCCCCGACCTCGTCGCGAAATTTTTCCCAGCCGTAAAAGTCTACTGATAGGTAACACCAGGTATACGCTGCAGCATATACATGCGACTAAACGAATTTCTGCTGTAAGAAATTGAAAGGCACGTTTGTCGACGATCTCTGAGTTTCTTGAGATGCCCCAAGACTTCAGCAGGTCTCCAGGGTCATCAGGGGGATAAGACATGTCCGTGGAACGCCTGGTGGAAGGATGGTGTCTTATTTGATGCGCCTACTGTATATTGATGCCCCCCGCATTCAAAGCGGCTCAGGCAAATGCTTCACGTGGTTGCGACACCGTTTGTGTTGCACATGGGTTGGGCACGATGGAGGAACAGTCTCGCCACCTCAGATCGGGCGCCGAGGACGAATTCTAGACGCTTCGCGTAACCCCACCACTTTCCGTAGCCATTTTGGCTCAAGCTCGAGGGGTAGGGGCAGCTGAACCCCGAACCCCGAGCTCGGGCCAATGGCGCGCCACCATCACTTTCACCTGGACGGCTCCCCCGCCACCGCGGCCACGTCATCGTCGCGGAGGCGTTCCTCAGGTCACGTCCACCACACGCGCAGCACCGCCACCGACGCGAGGGGGCGCTGGGTGGAGAGAAGCCCCAGCGAGACCACCCGAGGCGGGGATGACACCAGCGTCTACGACATGGATCGCAGGATTACTCAGCACTACGTGGAGATTATGTCCAAAGTCGACCCGGAGTGGCACGACTATTTGCACCGCACGGAGTCCCATAGCGCCAGCCAGTCGGTCGGTGACGTTGCGGGCACCAATAAGTTCTCGGCGTTCGACGGCAGGTTCGAGCTCGAGATCTGTGGCCGCCGGCTCAAGGCGAGCGCCGTGCACGTGGCGGCGCTGCACGCCAGCGGCGGTGGCCAGGGCGCCAGCCGCCTCATGCAGCTGCTGGTCGAGAGCGGGGCGGACCTCTGCCAGCCGTGCGAGTGGGTCGACCTTGCGAACGTGGACGAGCGCGAGGACGTGCTTCGTTCTGACCTCGTGTGCTTCTCCCGGCCCGTGCACCTGGCCGCCGCGGTGGGCGGCTGCGACGCGCTGGATGCGCTGCAGAGGGCGGGCGCGCCCATCACCTGCACCTGCAGGCCCGCGGCCGGAGGCGACAGGGGGTCCCCGGTAGCGCCGTGCGGGGCCTGCGACTCGGAGGGCGGCTCGCCGCTGCACGAGGCGGTGCAGTTCCAGCGGGCGGAGGCGGTGGAGCTGCTGCTGAGGCTCCGGGCAGACCCCGCGGCGGCGAACTGCCGCGGCTCCACGCCGCTGCACCTCGCCGCGCAGCAGGGCAGCGTGCAGATCGCGCAGCTCCTCCTCGGCCTGCGCGGCGACCTGCCGCGCGTCGACGAGCCTACGCGCAGCAGGAGGCTGAGGAAGTGCAGATTCTGCGAGGCGGGCCTCCATCACGACCAGGACGCCAACGGGAACAAGGTCCACGAGACAGCCCTAATGCTGGCGCTGTCGTCTGGCCAGTTCCCCTACGACAAGTTGTTCCTTCTCGCGGAGCGGCGGCTTACCGACATCTTGCAGGTTGCCCGCACATGCCCGGCGGCGGCCTCCTACCTGATGCGCGACCCGCGGCACGGCTGGCGCGGCGGCGGCGTCCACGCGTCCTGGCGGCGCGGGGTGCTGGAGCAGCTGCACCGCATGCGGCGCGGCAACCAGCACCTCGAGGGGGCCTGGATCGAGCTCCTGGAGAAGGCCCCGCCCGCTGCGGAGGACCTCCTGGAGGCGGTCACGGTGATGCCCCGGGAGGAGAACATCAACCACAACCCGCTGCCCGTGCAGGCGCTCTTCCGGCCCGGGGAGCTGCTGCGGAGCGAGTACTGCGCCGTGAGGGCCGGCGAGGAGCCCACCTGGGGCTTCGCGGCTGCCGAGTCCGCGTCGGAGCCGGCGTGGCAGAGGCGCCTGGTGCCGAGGCGGGAGAAGGCCCTCTGGGCCACGGGCCGCGGGAGTGCGGGCGCCGCGGCGCCGCCGGGCGGACCGGCAGCCGGCGCCGCGCGTGTGCCGCCGGTGCCGGAGGAGAAGCAGTCAGCGGCGTTCTGCGCGGCGCTCGCTGGCCGAGCCGTCGCCCGCTTGTGGGAGCTCGCGCAGGACGTGGTGCAAGGCAAGAGGCAGCTCGTGCCAGTGCGCGTGAAGGTCGTGCGGCTGCCGGGGCTGCTTAGCGTCCCCTCGCTCCACGCGCTCTCGTCCACCCGGCACCTGCGCGTATTCAGCAAGCTGGGGGTGAGGGCGAGCGTGGACTACATCTGGACGGAGGTCGCGTTCTTCCCGCACCTCGCGAGCGTGGTCTACCGCATCGTCGAGGCGGCGGTGCTGTTCCTCCGCGTCCTGAGGCCAGACCTGGCGTTGTCCTCGACCGCGTTCCGGCGCGCCTCCTGGAGCTGGCTGCTGGTGATGGCGCTGCGGGACCTGACGGAGGAGCTCCTGGAGATTCTCGGCCTGCTCTCCCTCGGCGCCAGGGGCGAGGCCGCCCAGGCGGGGTCGGAGCCGCCCTCGCCCTCGAAGGCCGCGGGCGCCGCCGGCGTGGACGACCAGTCGGAAGGAGGCGTGACCACCGAGGCGACTGACGGCACGTGGACCCCAGAGGAGGCGTGCGAGCGGCTCAGCCGCCCTTTGGGCGTGCCAGGTGGGCTGCCCCGCAGCAAGATGGTTGACTTGTTTATGTCTGTCTTTAACAATTATCTGTGTGATATCAAGAACGTGTTCGACATTGTGTGCATAGGAGTGTATCTTTACCTAATGTACGTCAGCTCGTCCAGCCTGTCCTTCGTCGGGCTGGAGCAGTGGTTGGCCTTTGTGTGTGTTATGCGATGGGTGCAGCTGGTGTACGCTCTCCGGGCGTTCGAGTGCTTCGGCCACCTCCTGCTGCCGATCACCCAGTCGCTGGCCCCCACGCTCGGGATCTTCTGCATCACCGTGTTCGTGTTCGTGGGGTTTATGCACGCCTTCATGGCATTCGACGTGCGCCTCGACGCGCACGGCGCCAGACTGACGACGGTCATCGCCACGTTCCGTTTCCTCTTCCTGGGCGACGGGCAGGGCATCGACGACATCCTGGAACTCCTCGGCGGGCACGGACCCCTCTTCGTGGTTGTGTTTCTCATCGCTTGCACAATCGTGTTTTGCGTGTGGATCCTCAACCTCTTCCTGGCGCTAACCAGTGAGGCGTACGACAAGGCGCAGGAGGAGTGCCTGAGCAGCTTCCAGCAGGAGAGGCTGGCCATCTGCATCCACTACATGTTCCATCCGTCCTGCCCCCGCAGGCGCCCCGCGGATGGCCAGAGTTCCGCGCCTCTCCCGTGGTGGTGGCGCGCCGCCACCTGCGCGGCCATTCTGGTGCTGGCGCTGCCGGCCTGGCTGGCGCTCGCGGGCCTCACGCGGCTGCACGTGCTGCTGCCCTCTCTGCTGCTGTTCTCGGCGCTGTTCGCCATGGACGCCGCGGCACTGCGGCACCAGTGCAGAGGCGGCGCGCCCCAGGAGGACCGCTACCTGTGGATCTGCCACCGCACGAGCTACTGTGAGTCGGAGCACTGGATATCCGAGCAGAGCGGTTCGCAGGTGCAGGGCAGGACCATGAGCCTGAAGCAGGAGGAGGCAATCCGCAGCCGGCGCCTTGCGCAGGAGATCATGACGCTAGGCAGGAGGCAGGAGAGCCTGGAGAGCGCCGTCAACAGCGATCTCGGGATTCGAGTCTTCAAGCTGGAGCAGAAGCTCCTGCAGCTGACGCGGCTGCTGGAGCACCGGCCCGGCCTCGTGGCGGCCCGCGCGGGGCAGGATGGCGGCCGGCCCGCGTCGCCGGAGCCGCCCGCGCCGCAGCGCGCGGCACTGGGACTGGAGGCGGGCCCCGACCGCGTCCCGACCTTCGGCCTGCCGACCTGCCGGGAGCAGGACCGCTCCATGCGACGAAGTGAGGGCGAAGTCCACGCGATGCTGCTAACATAGGGCTATCCCAGCCACCTCCGTCTGATCCGACTGGCAAGCAGCTGCGCTTCTCACTTCGTGTTCGGCCTCATTCTTCGCCTGCACGCCTCTGGCGCTCCCACCTCGGCCGGGCGAACCTCGCTCGGCCGATCCCTGCGCGGCCTCCCGCCTCGAGAAAAAAAATTAGCCTGACGAAGGACCCAACCATGTCCAGGTGTGAATACCGCAGTTGACACTACCAATTTCGGTGGGGCTCCCTATAGGGCCAAGAAACGTGTGAAGGGGATGGGTGTGCGGGACGCATGCGGGCGGCAGCACTGGGGCCTTCGGTGGAGCTCCCTATGGGGCCACGAAACGTGTGAGGGAGTTGACGAAATGGGTGTGGCTGACGCATGCGGGCGCGGGCACTGGGGCCTTCGGTGGAGCTCCCTGTGGGGCCACGAAACGTGTGAGGGGTGTGCCGAATTGGGTGTGGTTGACGCATGCGGGCGCGGGCGCTGGGGCCTTCGGTGGAGCTCCCCATGGGGCAACGAAACGTGCGAGGGGTGTGCCGAAATGGGTGTGGCTGACGCATGCGGGCGCGGGCACTGGGGCCTTCGGTGGAGCTCCATATGGAGCCACGAAACGTGTGAGGGGTGTGCCGCATTGGGTGTGGTTGACGCATGCGGGCGCGGGCACTGGGGCCTTCGGTGGAGCTCCCCATGGGCCCACGAAACGTGTGAGGGGTGTGCCGAAATGGGTGTGGCTGGCGCTTGCGGGCGCGGGCACTGGGGCCTTCGGTGGAGCTCCCCATGGAGCCACGAAACGTGTAAGGGGTGTGCCGAAATGGGTGTGGCTGACGCATGCGGGCGCGGGCACTGGGGCCTTCGGTGGAGCTCCCTATGGAGCCACGAAACGTGTGAGGGGTGTGCCGAAATGGGTGTGGGCTGACGCATGCGGGCGCGGGCACTGGGGCCTTCGGTGGAGCTCCCTATGGAGCCACGAAACGTGTGAGGGGTGTGCCGAAATGGGTGTGGGTGACGCATGCGGGCGCGGGCACTGGGGCCTTCGGTGGAGCTCCCTATGGAGCCACGAAACGTGTGAGGGGTGTGCCGAAATGGGTGTGGGTGACGCATGCGGGCGCGGGCACTGGGGCCTTCGGTGGAGCTCCCTATGGAGCCACGGTGTGAGCCTCCCTATGGAGCCACGAAACGTGTGAGGGGTGTGCCGAAATGGGTGTGGGTGACGCATGCGGGCGCGGGCACTGGGGCCTTCGGTGGAGCTCCCTATGGAGCCACGAAACGTGTGAGGGGTGTGCCGAAATGGGTGTGGGTGACGCATGCGGGCGCGGGCACTGGGGCCTTCGGTGGAGCTCCCTATGGAGCCACGAAACGTGTGAGGGGTGTGCCGAAATGGGTGTGGGTGACGCATGCGGGCGCGGGCACTGGGGCCTTCGGTGGAGCTCCCTATGGAGCCACGAAACGTGTGAGGGGTGTGCCGAAATGGGTGTGGGTGACGCATGCGGGCGCGGGCACTGGGGCCTTCGGTGGAGCTCCCTATGGAGCCACGAAACGTGTGAGGGGTGTGCCGAAATGGGTGTGGGTGACGCATGCGGGCGCGGGCACTGGGGCCTTCGGTGGAGCTCCCTATGGAGCCACGAAACGTGTGAGGGGTGTGCCGAAATGGGTGTGGGTGACGCATGCGGGCGCGGGCACTGGGGCCTTCGGTGGAGCTCCCTATGGAGCCACGAAGCGTGTGAGGGGTGTGCCGAAATGCGGGCGCGGGCACTGGGGCCTTCGGTGGAGCTCCCTATGGTGAAGCGGTGTACTGGGTGGGTGAAGAGGAGAGAAGGAGAGGAGGGGAGGAGAGGGAGGAGAGAGGAGAGGAGAGGAGAGGAGAGGAGAGGAAGGAGAGGAGAGGAGAGGAGAGGAACGCGGGGCACCGTCTCTTCAAAACGAGGACCCAACACCACAGGATGGTTGGGAAAAAACTTGGGCTTCCCAAGTTACTACGGCCTTCAGCCGTGCATCTCTACCTTCCTGGGAGCGACACTGGGCTCGGACCCTCGTCTTGGTTCACGTGGCGTGCAGGCCGTCCTTTGTCGTGGGTCGCCCCGCCGTGGTGGCGGAATGCCCACCTGGTCCGCTTGCACCGTACTCTGACTGGGCCGCTGACGTGACCCCGTTCACTGCTGCCTCCCACTGTTGGCCGTGCTTTGCCACCCTGTGGACAGCGATGCACGGTCTCGGCGTGTGACGGGCACACGGTCTCCCTATCGTGGCTCCCACGCGCAACCTCGTTGTGCGACCACTCCCTGCGACTGTGTGGCCGTGAAGGGCTTGCTGACGTGGGTATACGGCAGCTTCTTCCTCTTCGAGCGCTTTCCTCGACCTGGCGTTGTGTGGTTTGCGAGACGCTGGCTGTCACTTAGTCGTTTGGTACACGCTTACTTCCGATTGACCGTGTGTCCCTCACCAGTTGGGTACTCGTGTACTTCTGCACTGCGGCACACCATTTCTCTGGTCTCCTGCGTGCAGGCGCATCTCTCAGCAGTTGTTTTGAGGTTGCCTCAGTTGTCTTTGACCTCAGGCTCACTCTGACAGCCGTGGATGCGTACTCTGAAGCTGCGACGGTTCGCTGGCGCTGTCAGAACTCCCCTCCTTGCTGGACGACGTCAGCTACGCTTTCGGTCTGCTCATACCCGACAGACTCCCTGGGCTGACTTTCTCGCACGGAGTTTGGTTCCCACCACCATGCGGTTGTCGGTTTTCATGACCCATGACTGGGAACGTACGGCGCGCCAGTTTGGCCGCGTCCGCTTTGCTTCCTGGGTGACTGACCCTTCAGACTCCCTGGGTTGCAGCTTGCACGACCGCCTGGCCTCTCAGACGCCCTGGGCTGCTACTTGCCCCGCCGCCTGATCCGCGGCCCCGCGCGCGCCCGGGTAATTCGTCACGGCCGCAGCCCGACCGTGACCGCTCGCCGCCGGCGCTTCCGCCTGCGGCTGTAAAAAAAAGTAACCCCACCACGGGCTCAGCACAACGGAGTCGAGGGGCACGTCGGTGACCAGCACCACCGCGACAAGCAGCACGGTAACGATCACCAGAGAGTCGTGCAGCACGACGTTGTTGAGCACACCAGGGTCCAGATGCATGGGCTCCAGCTCGACGGGATCGAGCAGCACGTCGCTAACCAGTACCACTGGGACAAGCAGCGCGGCAACGTGGCCTGGTACTCTCACCTCAGCTACCTGGGGCGCTCCGGCGCACAGGGTACATCGTCGATAGGAGCGCGTCGCTTTCCACATGAGCTTTGTTGGCGCAGTCAGGCTTGGCATAGCCAGGGTTGGCACAGTCATGGTTGGCATAGTCAGCGCGGTCGGAAATGGCACAGCCACGATTGGCATAGTCAGCAACAACTGCTTGAGTAAATGCTCTACCGTTCCTCCTCCTCTCCTCTCACACCGTGTGCCTGGCGTGCACTTTCTCCCTCCCCTCCTGCATCCTAGCGCTGCAGCGGTTAGCTGCCACCCCGGGGTGCCTACCGTGCCTGGCGCGCACTTCCCCTCCTTGCCTTTGTTTCACTGGGTTTGTCCCACGCCGCTGGGGTTGCCGCCAATACCGCTGTCTGATTGCGCTCTGACAGCCTGAATTCCATGCAAGGATCACACTTGGAATGGGTGGTCAGGTGCCCCCTGGGCTTCTCCTGGCTGGTGTCGGCCTCCACTAGTGGCCGAAAATGGTTCAGTGGGATCTCGCTACGCTGCCGACCTCTACGGTGCAAGGACTTCGGGTTCGGCATGCGTGGCTCTGTGCGCCCGTCGGCTGCTTTCTCCTGCAA